AGAGAGAGAGAGAGAGAGAGAGAGAGAGAGAGAGAGAGAGAGAGAGAGAGAGAGAGAGAGAGAGAGAGAGAGAGAGAGAGAGAGAGACTTGGAACAACACGCAGAAGATTAACAAGGCCTCTGCGCAAGGATGGCACTCGTAAGTGAAGATATGGTCCATTTTATACATGGGAAGAAAGAAAGAGAGACCAACACCGATAAAAAGGCCAAGAGCCCAAACAACCATAAGAAAGTGATTACATAAAGAAAGAAGCACATTACACAGCCGATAAACCGATGGTAATGCCCCCTCTGCACAACTCTAGAAGTCTGATCGTCTCTTACTCCTATTTGAAAGGAAAGGACATGTACTAGGCAAGTTGACGGAAACAACGGTAGTGACCAGAAACAACGATACTCGAACAGGCAGAGGGAGAATCTCGGTGCTGAGTCATCAAAATTTGAGATGTGATAAGGATCCTTGGGACGCAGATTAGAGGACAACTATCATGATTAATTAAAGCATTTCAACGCAACCGAATATTCAGGATGTACCAGTACATCCAAGAAGAAAAAGTACCAAACCCATCATGATGAAGCTTCCTCCATCGCAGTGCTAGCTGTGCGGCCAAGGATCCTCCTTCGGTTTGCATGATACACTTAAACGGAATCTAGTGGTGACTGCGTATTCACATATGTGCGGAGAGTGAGAGCGAGAGGGAGAAAAAGAACAACTAGTTCTAGCAATCGAAATACACGTCGCGTGATTACATGCCGATATCCGTCGGGCTAGGCCTGATCCGAGAAGTCCGTCCTCCCGACTGACCACAGCACTGTCTAGCTTTTGTAGAAAGAAGGCCAGCGCTACATCTCTCCGCAGACTAGACTATCCATTCAAGACTCATCGCTCCTAGACAGGGACTCAGAATGCGGTTTTTTTCCGCAAAATCAACTTCTCTCTCTCAAGTCTCGAACCAGAGCTGTCTCACCAGATAATTAACCCGTTGTCGATGGATATCTCCGCTCGCCTTAGCAACTCGACCAGTTGATGGCGAAGATTTGTGTGAGCTTCAGATCCTGCGAGTCCATGGTGATAACTCCGATCCTTGGAGGTTTTCCGGGATGCACTCGCACTTCTGAGTTAATGTTGAGGTCCCTGATCTTGCCACACTCGCTTCCGACTGCGTTCTGGAAATAGTCTGTCACCTCGTAGTTGCCATCGAACTGGCCGTTAAAGACGTGAGTAGCTTGACCCGACCCTATCCGCCCGGAGATGTGATAGCCCGTCCTCATGGTTCCCTTGACGCCCGCGTCCAGCTTGGCGTACCCGCGCATCGTCACCGTCCCGAGAGTGAAGAAGAAGCCGGGCGGGTAATTGAGCATGACGGTCACGACGCAGGACTTGCGCATGTTTTGTTGCCCTTCGTCCGTGGTGGCAGTGAAGGTGTTGAACATCACCGTCAGTGCCTTGCTATCGCAGGAGATGGAACCTTGAACAGATCCTACGGGACAACCATCGCCGTTATAGTCGAAGCCGTCGATCTTGACGGCTCCCGGCGGAGGAGCACCGACATGCACGTTGACGACGAGCTGGACGACTGCGAGGAGCAGCAGCGCCGCGAGCTCCGCCACGGCTGAGCTTGACCGGAACACTGTCTTCATCCTGACTCTTTTTCTGATGCGTGGCGATTTTCCGCCTTCTTCGGCTGGCTGCTTGAGAAAGACAACGAGCATTACGCGCCAAGGATGGCGATGACTGCAAGTTCGAGGTCGATAGCTAACACACAACCCAAACCTACTCCTTCCCTTCCACCCCTGCCGACTGATGGCCGCTCGTCTGCTCTCCGTCCTAGAAACACTTCGAACCACAGCGCCGCGCTTCTTGCCCTGCAAATCCGACTTTTAGCCACAGGAGATGCTGCCTCTAGCTACTCACGAGCGCACACGGAACACGCCAACGACAGCTTGATCGTCGTCGCAGCAGACGTCTACTTTCCCACTGGTCGGGCGATGTGGGGTTTTATACACAGTACATAGCGAAGTTGCCCTGTTGTGCTACGTGCAGACTCTCGACCCCTCTTCCTACGACTCAGTCAGCAGTGCCCAAAAACTGCAGGGCAGTTTCCAAAATCAGTCCCATTGTCCTTCGGAACATCCGTTAAAATAGGAACGATACAGAGACGACAAGATTAGGATGACACGGCGGACAGGCATAAATTGAGAAATGTCCAAAAACCCAAGAGCCTAGCTCAGTGGGTACACCCATGAACTGTTGAAATACAGACCTGTGTTCGAATCCAGATGATGGAACTTAACGAGTAAGACCGACTACTAATGAATTGCTTGGGGCCGGTCAGCTTTATTTTTATTTTTTTGGGGGCGGGCGGTCAACTTTATGATAATATCTCAAGGCCGTATCCAAAAGATAGAACAAGAAAAAGATAGTAATAATAATAAGGATAAATTTTCGAAATGCCCCTGAAGTTTGCGTTTACATGCGGCGTGCCCCTCTGACGGCCGACTTACCTTGTCGCGCCCCTCTGACGACGAATGATGTTTCCAGAAAACCCCTGGAGTTGTTTGGGCCTGAAAAATGTTTCATATGCCCCTACCGGTACCCGTACCAAATTTTCAGTATGCCCCTACTGGATGGCCGTTGAGAACCAGCACAAAAGTTTCCCATATGCCCTTATTGGTACCGTCCATCTTTCCAGCGAGCCCCTGTGGCCGTTGTTGACACTCGCAGTCTTTCCCCTGGGCCAGGGAGAGATGCTACCGGGTCATATCAGAAATTTGGCAACGAGCATGGACACACACACACACGTGTGCGCACAGACACACACACACACACACACACGCACACACAACACATATACACACACACGCGCACACACACGCACACACACACATACACATGCAGACACACGCGCACACACACACACACACACACACACACACACACACACACACACACACACACACAACCACACAACCCACACACACACACACGCACACACACAACACACA